ATATTATATTAATTCCAGCCAGATAATGCGGTAATGCCGGCCAGATAATTTTATTTGAGGTCATATTAAAAACCCAGTGCATCACGCGCGTGTCCAACTCTAATGACTAAATCAAAGCAAATGGAAAAAGTATTGCAAAACAGTCAAGCTCCATGTGCACAATTAATAAATGGTTTTATACTCATAATCAAATCAGAGCTAATAATATAATGTGGCATGTTATATTGGACCAATATTAGTCAATCACGGATGCATTCCTTGAGATCCAGGGATGACCCATTGGCTGATCCGTGAGTAACCTGTGATACCCAGTAGTGTTCCGAGTTGATTAAATTTTTCCAATCGATTAGTTGTCAACTTAGTTGTCGATTAGTTGCAACTAATAGTCACATGTTTTCAATAAATTTAATTGGCATAATAAATAATCACGTATTTTCTGCATCATTTTAAACCATTCTGACTGGCTAAAAAAATTCCACATCTTAAATTTATTATGTAATCAACCAACATTAAAAAATTTTCAATCGATTAGTTAACTAGTTGTCAACTAGTTGGTTTTTCAACTAACGATTTGGATCACTAATACCCAGTGTTTAAAATTCAAATTTATAATTATGTTCTTTAATGTTCTCCTAAAGGGGTCGGGATATTAATTGAATCTTTTCTCTATTATTTGTCAACACAAATCGACCTATCAAATGAATGTCTTCCTGCGGACAGAGCTTAGGGACGGGGCAGTCACATGATATTATCAAGAAGGGAAAAATAAAATTTTTGAAACTTTAAATCAAAATCTCTTGGCAACTACTTGACAATTTTTTTTTTATTTGAATTCTATGAATCCATATAATTCAAATAAAAAAAAATTCCATCGAATTTGGTCAGATGGTTATGGAGATATCTTCGCTCAAAGTTAGAGAAAAAATCAAACCGCCTATCAAAATAGAAGCTACGCCAGTTTTTTTAAAAATTTGAGCGAAGATAGCTCCACGGCCACCTGACCAAACTCGATAAAAATTTTTATTTGAATTCTATGAATCTACAGAATTCAGATAAAAAATTATTACCGGATTTGGTTAGGTAGTTGTGGAGATATCTTCGCTTAAAGTTAGTGTTGGGATCCGTTTGGTTAAACATCAGGATATCCGTGGATGGTACGGATATTCGGATATCAAATTTTGCTCACGGATGGTGAATCCGAATAACAAAAAATATTACGGATGGTCATCCGGATACTATCCGGATGATTATATAGACTTTTTAATTTATCATAATAAGAATAAAATTATTGGTCAGCGCATTCTAATTGGCTATTATCAAATATCCGTAATATTTACAGATATCCGGATGGCCATTTTTGAGCAGGATATTTGCAAACGTATATTCAGGTGGATACGGATGTCCTATCCGGATTGCTGTTCTTGAGCGCGGATGACTATCCGGATATCCGAATTGACATCCGGATCCCAACACTACTTAAAGTTAGAGAAAAATAAAAACGACTATCAAAATAAAAGTTACGCCAATTTTTTTTTAAAGATTTGAGCGAAGATATCTCCACAGCCACCTAACCAAATTGAACATTTTTTAATTTAAATTCTATGAATTCAAAAGAATTCAAATGAAAATGTTTTAACAAATTTAATTGGAAGTTGTAGAGAATAATTTTTTAAAAAATTGCTACTTTTATTTTAATTGGCGTTTTGATTTTTCTCTAACTTTGAGCGACGATATCTCCACAACTACCTAACCAAATCCGATAAGAATTTTTTATATCTGAATTCTATGGATTCATAGAATTCAAAAAAAATTTTTTTTATCGAGTTTAGTGGTTGTGGAGATATTTTCGCTCAAATTTTTAAAAAAACTGGCGTAGCTTCTATTTTGATAGGCGTTTTGATTTTTATCTAACTTTGAGCGAAGATATCTCCATAACCATCTGACAAAATTCGATGAAATTTTTTTATTTGAATTATATCGATTCATGGAATTCAAATAAAGAAAAAAATTTGTCAAGTAGTTGCCAAGATATTTTGATTTAACTGTTCGAAAATTTTAATTTTCTCCCTCGATACTATCACATGACTGCTCTGTCCCTAAGCTCTATCCATAGAATTTCCGCCCATTTTAACCCAGGTTAAAATAACCTATCATATGGTTTGTGGCTAGTATGATTTTGACCTAAAATTTAGCAGACCGGCCAAAATTCTGCATCACAGAAAATTTGATACGTACTCTAGTAACATCAGCCACAAATCACGAATGGGTTAAAATAGAATTTTGCTATTTTAAATTTACTATAAAAACTAATCTAAAATCTTAAAAGCGCTCAGTGCTCAATTTTACATATACGTACGTAAGTACTGTATTAATTATTCCCTGCCAATTGTTCACCGAGAATAGACTTTTTAGAGATGATTTCTGATAATGGGGTTTCAGAATTAATGATTCGATGTCCGATTTCTGATAAATAAAGTGAAGCATTTATTTAAAAAGAAGCAAATTCTATTTTTTTTTTTTTTAAAGTATGTGCATATTTATTTACATAATTGCTTATAGGTGAATGTTTATAAAAAAAAAAGCTAATTTTATCACAGCTACGCCTATTTAATTTTCTGTTCGGAATTCTAAAAAAGAAAATAGGATCTTTTAAGCTCCCACTTATTTTTTGAAAAAAGTTTCCCTTAATGTCGTTTTTGAGATTTTGATAATATATAGTAATATCGATATGCAAAATGAAATAGAATACAGTATAATTCTTTGGGCAAATGTTAAAAAGATTATCGGAGAAATGAGGAAATCAATCCATGGTGTACCACTTAAATTCATCCAATCAGATCATTAAAGCGGGAAGGCTTTTTTTTTGAACGTGTATGGAAAACGACAAAGCCATCACTACCTTTTTTTCGTGCTATTTTGCAGGGATCGACAAAGAAAAATTTTCATTGGATCATATGAATTTGATCATTGATAATACAGTTATAAAAAGCTTTTTCAAGTTTTGGATATAAATATCCCTAGCTTTTTTTGGTTAGTGTGTATTATAAAAATAAGTGATGGTACAGTACCATACATTTTGTACGTTGATCTAGATAGTTGACCTTGCCGCTTGCTTTTGCTTTTGGTGACTGCTCTGCCTTGAACAACGGTTGCATTTAAAAAGTTTTAATGCGCAGGTGAAATGTTAACTTTTTAAACTTTATCGTTTTCGCCTGTGCCTCTATATATTTTTGATAAAAAAAAAAAAGTAATCCAATGTTGATTCTAGTATAAATATCGCTATGACCTGAAAATCCAAGCCATCATTAGGATTTACTTTGTAATACTCTCAAACATTTTATTCATGAAGATTGAGTTGCTAAATTTATAATAGTTTTTCGATTTCTATTATACTCTTATAAATAATAACGATAATGATTCTAAAATTAAAATAGAAAATCGAAAGGGGAAAGAAATTTTTAAATTGGCTAGTTCTCGATTTTTCTCAACCTTGGACAAAACTACACCGTACTAAAAAAATGTAATTTAAACATGGATTTTACTATTTTAATCTAAGTCGATTTTTGCTAAGATGGGCTTTATATAAGAACGCCAATCAGTACTTTCTTTATTGTTTACTTACGTACTGTACGTACGTAATACGTACTACGTCTATTTACGGTTTATACACGTGATTGAATAAAAAAAAAATTGCATGAAATCACAAATTTGTTACGAAAACCAGCTTCCTATTTAGGGATGTTATGTGGTCCGGTCTTAGACTAATAAACCACAGTTCAGCAGTTAGTATTAGTATTAGTCTTAAGACCGGTCTGAACCTAAAAAAAATTGGTCTGCTCTAAGTCTTAAGACTGGACCAGACTGGACCGGTCAAGACTGGCAAAGTCTTAAGACTGAAGACCATGATAGACCGGACTAGACTTACCAGACTGAACCACCGGACTGTTAACATCCCTATTCCTATTTTTTTATACCCTGATTACTATATCAAGATCGCAGGGTATAAATCAGTTACCGTAAAACTCGGAAAAATAAGCACAGTAACCTCTAGCTTATTTTTTTCAATTTCAGATTAACGGAATAACTTGAGTAAAGATTTTATTGATATTTCCGCTAATCTGAAATTTTTAAAAAAACAAAATAGAGTAGAATGTACTGTGCTTATTTTCCGAGTCTTGCGGTATACAGTACACTGGATTCTATGTGTATAACGATTACATATTAAAATAAATATTAATTTTAGATAAAAAAAATTAGGATATGAGTTAGTCATAGGACTTACAATTTTCCGCGCCATACCTAAATCTGTTTATTTCTGTATTTAATATTATTCTTAAGCTTTACCACTTAGCCAATTATAATTCTACGTAACCTCAATATAAATTGTCATTAATTATATTAATTGTAACTATAGAATCAATTGAATCAATTTTGCCCTTGGCTTTATAATTCCCTTAATTGTACTGGACTTAATTCCTAAAAATTTGATTATATTATTATATTGCAATACTACTGGTTGTTATGTTGATAATACAAGGGTTAAAATCTGTTATAATAAAAATTTATTCAAACTTGCAGGTTTACTTAGTAGAGCTGTCGATTTAAATCCTTTTAGAATTATTCTTTCGAAAACATTTGACAAAGAGTTGCAACTTGTGCAGAATTTACCTAACATAGTTTAAAGATTAATAACAAATTTCTGCATAATTCATATTTTGTCAATAAAAATATTATTATGTTTAATTTTTAATTCACATCAAGTTTTTGTTACAGTATATAATTTACATGAGTAATTTTCACAATATTGTGATTTTTTTCCCTATTTCACTTAAACTTTCCACTCGATTTACTAATTTTCGCGAGCATATCATTCAGATATTCCCACCTCAACTAAATATGCGATACACATTATATCAATGTTCACGAATTAAATCAAAAGCTCAGATAAACCCAACACCACTTTACCAAATAAACCGGTACAATAATAACTATATACAAATCTACTCAATATCTATTACAGTATCATTTGAAGAATCTATTACAGCATCATCAGAAGAATCTACTACAGTATCACTAGAAGAAATATTTTCTTGTTCAGAATTCTTTATTGTTTCACATTCCGTATCTTGATAATATTTTTCAAAATAATCTATTGATTTTCTATCTTGATTATTTTCTTCAGGATGTTTTTGAATCTTTCCTTTGTAAAATTCAAATCCTTTATACTTGCGTGCCATTATGACCGAAATAAATATTAATAGGATAAGAAAACTTAAACTAGCAACTATTATTATAATTTTTTGTTGCTGAGTTAATGATGAGGTAGAATTTGGAATTATTGGTTCGTTCGGATTTGACGGAGTTGGTGAAACGTATGTTTTAATTACGTAGTATGCCATTATTCCTTGAAATGCGGAATTATAATCAAGTGCAACCTTTTAAAATGACAAATAATTTATAGGAAATATTAAGAACATTGTATGCTAGGAAATTATGCATATATATATATATATATATATTGTAAGTGAGAATACTGGAATAGAACTTAACAGTTAATTATTTTTAACTGGTAAAAAATTATTTATAAAAACAAACTCTAATCCTAATCTTACGTTCTCACTTACAACATGTAGCAAATTAAATAAAAATATATACAGTACCTCAGATTGAACAATATTTGTTCTTGAGTCATCATATGAATCATTTATATTCGGACCACCTACAATAGCACCATATAAAGGATGCATCGTTTCTGGTGGATCATTCAAGTTTCCAATATTTGTTCCTCCATGCGCACCAGCATGATGAGGATTTTTAGGAGAATTTGGATGAACATCCACAACATAAAATCTTTTCATAGGATTAGCACCGAATAAATAATCAATTTGTGAAGTAGCAAAATTTATATAAGCATTAACTTTTTCTGTGGTAGATGTATAAGAAGAATACATAAAAAATCCAAAGGCACCGTAAAGAGAAATTGGTATTGAAGCTGCTCCACTATCACCTTTACACCATAAAAGTCCACCGTTTGTCAAATTACAATTACTTTGATTTGTCATTATTCTATCCAAGTAACGTTCAGTTTCATTACTCCAAATAGTGTAATTTTCTTTTGATTTACCATGGTATATCTGAGCAAGTAAGATATTACAAGCACCCTAAATTTTTATTAAGAATAAAAAAGTTAGAAACATCTTAAAATAAAAAAAAAAAAACTTTTTTATTCAGGAAAAAAAATATTTAACTGTTTGATCATCCCATGACATAATTCTTAGACTATTTTGTAATTGGAATTGTCTATAATAATTTATTGCCTTGTTTAAGTATTGAGTTTGATTAGTAGCTTTATATAACCAAATGGCTCCATAAACTAATTTATCGGTGTATGTTGAAGTACTATATCCAAAAGATCCAGGGATAGATGATGAAGATAATTTTAAGGTTTGATTTTCGGCAAAAGTATAAACGTTTATAGCATGAGATATTAATGTGCTGGCGTAATCAGTATCATTAAAAAAGTCACGAAATAAAATTGCCGTGGAAGCAAAAGCTGCAGCTGCTTCTGAGGCGACATCAGTACCATGTAATGTCGCATTAATATCATAAGCAGGACGTGGTTTTGGAATACTATTTATCGTTGACGTTATCAAAAATGAAAAAATAAATAAGTAATGTTTGTTACATCGAAACTGTATACGTATTACGTATCGTGAACTAACAGCTAAATACGTATTACGTATCGTGAACTAAATACGTAAATATGTATTCCAAATGACGTATCGATCGATATGTACAGTACATACTTAGTATCAGGACCCCAATATGAATTATCGATTAGACTTGAACCAACTTGAATGAATAGTTGATTAGGTTGGGGATGAGCGGCTATTAACCAATCAGTTCCCCATTTAATCATTTCACGAAGATATTCAGTTTGATTTGAAAGTTTATATCCTTCAAACCATTCGATTGCACCCCTAAAAAAAAATATATATATATAATTTAGATTAAACAGAAAATCAAGAGTCCCCTTAAAAAAATTGACAATCACCATGAAGTGAGAGATAATACCCATGACAATGGTAAAGCAAACTTTACGTAATCACCTGATAAAAAATAATAATATACAGTATTATGTAAAATGTGCATGATATCATTTGATTGTCAATTGTATGAAACTATACCTGCATCATAGTAACCCTGGGTGTTATTTTTAAATTAATAAATAAATTAAATTAAATTAATTTGATATTGAGTACGTGTATACTAACGAAACTCACCCCAGTTAAGTTTATGCCTCTATCTTTCCCGTCATCGAGCGCGGAATCATGTCTCCTAATAGTAAAAATGAAGGTTGATAAAAATTATGATCGAGATGAAAAATTAAATTTTGCAAAAGTTAAAAATTACCAAGAAACTCGATTATTTTCAGGCAAGTATCCGCTCCTTTGTGCTTCATAGAAATATAAAGAGTAAGCCAACAACTTTGAATAATCATCTCCTTCTTTTGGAATACCAGGTATATCGGGTGAAGGAAGAAGGCCAAGAGATGTTTCCGCTTTAGCTGCGGGAATCATACGTGTAATACATATTATAACCAACGTCAAGAAAAATAACGGATATCGTTTTTTTAATATATGATGTAATTGAATCATGTTTATTTATCTCTTTACACGAATAACTATCGCATCAAACACTTGTGTAATTGAGAAGATAAAATTCAAACAACAGGAATAACGACAAGTTAAATCCTGACATTTAAATAAATTTAGTCGGCAACACCCATTTGGAAGAATCTTACTACGCATATTTCTTCATTTTAGTTAAATTAACCGATTTTAGGTGGTCTCTTTTTTTTGGGTGTTTTTAATCAAATGCGAATTATAAATAGATAAATTGCTTCATGTTAGTTTACGTCAGGAATTGATAGTAGTACATAACCTTAATACAACAGATCATACACATATACGAAACGATAAGTTTAGAATCATGTAACATTTCTCATTTTAATATTTTGCATTTTCATTGTTTTTTCTATAAAGTCATTTAGATCGTTTAAAAAATAAAAATGAAATAGTTTGATTATACTCGAAAGTTAAAAATTAATTGGAGAATAAATTACTTACTATTAAAGTTAAAAAAAATAATCAACGTTAACAAAAATTATTTGTTCATAATGCTGATTTTTGCTGACTATGGATGGAACTTTGATCAGTCACTATCACCATTATTGCTACGATTGTAGTTTTTGCAAATTAATGTATGTCAATGCAGCGGTTAAAATATATCCGATATTAGATATCTGTTACACAATCACATATATTTGAAGTCTTAACATATATTATTAATACTATCGTTATTCTGTTTATTTAGATGACTTTTTAGTATGAAGGAAACGAAGATTACTATGGAATACGTATTATTGTTTTTTTTAAAAAAAAAAGTTGATCTTTTTACTGCATAAGTTTTTTGGTTGTTTGTAGTTTAGTGTATAAATAAGCTGTATGTACCGGTAAGTATGTACTATTAATGAATTAGGGTATTTCTATTTATCGTTATTTCTATTTATTTCTATTTTTTTGTACAACCAATGTAATGCAACTTACTATAATAAGATTTCAGGTGACATATAGGGGTGTGGCAAAAAACGCACGTATATTAAAAAAGCTTATTTTTTTCTTTCAGGATTTTCTTTTAACGTTAAAATTTCTATTTTTATCTTTTTCGTATATAAGCCGCAATATTACCCAAAGTGGGTAAACCGAAAGATATACGTAGTAAAAAGGAAGATTGAATAATTGATGTTTTAGATCGAAACGTTTAATTGAAGTATCAGCTTAATGAATCTTTCAAAATATTATAGCGCTTTGCAAAAATATGTGGCCCCATGATTTTTGTGATGATGAACGAGGAAAATTTAGATTCTAAATTGTCTATTAATTCATATTTCTATCAGTTATATTTATATTTATTTGAAATTGGTAAGATTCTTAAAATCTACAGAATCTCTGATTTTCACACGACATTGTGATCTACAGAGGTCACTAAAGTGACAAATTTTCTTGATTTTAAAAAATTTCTGAATTTTGTTTTTCAAATAAATTGTTGATAAAAATCGATTTCTTAACAAATTTATATAATTTTATTTCTCTGCTGAAAATCCAAGTGATCAAATTACAGTTTATAACATAAAGATATAAATAAAATTTTTTATCAAGTTCTTAGAAACTTAAAGAACTTAAAGAATAAACCTTTTATTTAGCTTAGAATGCACAATACTGTACATTTACAAAGAAACACCTTGCTGTGCATTTATTACAAATGAACTACCTAATGTATCCAGCTATTTCTATGGTGCTAGAAGTCTATACTCAACAATAAAAATAATATAACTTTAAAATGAATCAACTTTTTATAGAAGCAATATTTTTTTAAAGGCTATTTGGCAACTTTGTAGAGCTCTTTATAAAGAACAAAAGTTACCAGTCAGATTTTTAAATATTGCTTTTATAAAAAATTATGGCATTTTAAAGTTTATTTAAAACAATAGTAAGCTTAAAAATGCATCAACTATTTATACAATAAAATAATTATTTGCATTATTTGCAGAATAGAAATTTTTTACACAAAGCTTTTTCTATATTTATTTTTTTAATATTCTATATTGATTAGCATGGGAGACATTCAATTCCGATGATTTCCGGGATCAACATTACACAAATATTTATACAGGAAAGTAGTCTAAAACCAGAATTTTTGCATATAAGCAAACCTAAAAAAAAAAAATCAATCATGTAATACCTTACTAATAAAATAGCTTCATAGAGAATGTCTTTTCAATAAACTCAAGTTGCATCATTTGCATTATGCCACATCATGGTAGTTATGATAAAAGTTGAAATACTATCTACCGTATAGTAAAAGGTAATAAAAGTATATTGTACTACTCAATTCACAAAGTTTAACATTGTTATTTTATTTTAATTTTTAATTTTAGTTATAATATTAACTTGTTAGTTTTTATTTTCAAATTTTGTAGACTCTTCTTAAAGTTATGATACTTCTTAAAAGATATTTAATGCAAAAGAAGTTATTTAATATATACAATAGTATAGTTTTATTAATTATGTGAGGATGTGTAACTTGCTGTCAAACCTTTTAAATAAAGTTTTTACAACTGTAAAATTGCCTTTAGTATGTGAATTAATAGTTGGATTCTTTTACAATGTGGGTTATTTTGCTTCGAAGAAATTTATAATATATGAATAATGCCTGTTGATTGTTTAACGATTATCTATCTGTTTTGACAAAGATGATATCATGTGGTAAAAAGCCAGCTTTTTATTAACTACCTTATAACAATCCCCATGATCTTCCAAAAAAATGAGAAAGTCCCCTATACTATATTGATTATTTTTTTTATAGTTAAATATTAGAAAAAACTACTATAATTATAATTTGATATTTTTTTAAAGTTTATTCTTTTAGTATTACTACTATAAAAACTACAAAGAAGTAGTAGCCAAAAAAATATCTGTCTTACCAAATTCTTATTAGTATTAGATTGCATTTTTTTATAATCAAATATTTAAACAATCTTTTTAATACTTAATATAGATGCTTGATATATTTCTTCCAAATCTATATTTTAAAGCTTCTTTATTTTGCTATCAAGTGTTTTTAATACTTTTCTGAAAAAGTAAAATTTCTACAACTTACATGGCTTAATTTCACTGTTTTTCTTTAGATATCTTGCTATAGAAGTATTTTAATTGTATATACTTTTTGCTTTATAGTTTTTTTTATCTAAATACTTTAACTAAATAAGAAATTTGCAAAAAGAATTTTCTAATTCTGTGCTATTTTAATTGTTTTAATATCTATATCATTCTTGATAGTATTTTAAAATCTGTCAACTGGGTTAGGATCTTGTAGCCTAGTAGTCTAGGTGTCTAACTCTTCACAAACAAGGTTAATAGTTTGATTATAGCTAGTGGTAATTAATTTAATTAATTATTTCAAATAACTTTCAGGAGCTTTAAATACAAAACTTTGTGATGGTAAAACTATGTGATATATATATTTAGTCCATAAAGACTGGGCACTGTATGTAACATGAGTTACAGAAGGTTTACTGCAAAAGGCTATGCATGTGAATTTGCAATTGGCAAGATAGCATCAACAACTCTAAGGTAGCATTGGAATCTTGATTAGAAGGATAGCTGTATATAGTATATTCAGAAGTGGTAAGAGAAGCAGTGAATATAGTAAGAGGCTGTGATAAAAGAGTGGCTTTACTAAATATAGAACACCTCTGGCACAAAGAAACAAGAAAAACTAGCTAAAAGAAATCTTGAAAAGTATGAAAGCAAGTTATCTAGTAGTACAAAAATAAAGATAGCTAGTGAGCAATGTGTTGCATAACTATATAAAAGCCAATAATAAAAATATAGCATAAGTGCGAGTCCTGAGTCACTAGCTTGTGATAAAGTAACTTCTCTAGATATACCAAACTGAAAGTATAAAAAGCATCTACTTAAAAGACACCAATTTGGAAGTAATACAAAAACTAAATTAGAAATAATGTGATAAGTAATGAGAGATAGAAGTTGGTTAGTAGACATTGTACAGTAGCATATAAGCAGAATACATATGATAAAATAGGTTTGGGAACAATCCATAGAATTAGTAACCAGTTCAATTGCAAGATGGTTATTAAGGAGGTAAAATCTCATATAGCGGTCACATATAGATACTCAAGTTAGTAACTGGGTGAGCTGATGCTGGTAATATTCATTAGATAGTTGTAATTATACTTGTAATATTTGTAACTAATAATACCTAAGCATAAATCTAATAAACAGTATTGGCAAAACTGCCAAATTAAAAAAAAAACTTGTCAACTAAATACAACTACTTTAAAGTCTAATTTATTAATAAGAAAAGTTTATTTAATTGTATAGCTGCACAGGATTGTTATATTGTATCTATGAAATAATTTAGTTATTTATGAATACAGAGCATTTTATAAAATAATAGTAAACTATGTGGCTTTTGACTATATAATTTTATTATTATTCTATAAAATACACATATTTACAGAAGATTTTGGGTCAAAAACCTGATTGAAAGAACATAATTCTGACCAAATTGGCTAGCATTATAGCTAGTGCTGGCTAACTTTGTCAGTATTATATTCTTTCAGGAATCTATTTTTCAGGATTTTGATCCAAATTTTTTACAGATATCCATTAAACAACAAGAAATAATTGAACCTGAAAGTTCTCAACATAGGCAGTAAATAAACACAAAATACAATATTAAACAAGTATAGAGGTCCGAACCAGGTTACATAAACCCGGGTGACCCAGATCAAAATGGGTGAACCGGGTTTCTAATTTATAACCTGGGACAAATTGGTTAAGATTTGAACATGCCTTTTTTTTTATACTAACCGATAAATTCTGTTATTTATGTTTCTATATGATTGCATAACTGGGTTTTACAACTTATAATCACTACTTTAATTAGTAAAAAAAATCAAGTTCTGGCAATGCTTGTTTTCCCGGCAACGCTT